TTCAAAAAGAGTGAATTTAAACTCGCGGAAAAGTAAGATGAGACTCACGGAAAAATGAGGATAAAGTCACGAAAAGTAAGGATAAAATCGCGGAGAATGAAATATGAATCGCGGAAAAGTGAGGATAACATCGCAAAAAAAAGTTAGACAAGAATCGCGGAAAAATGAGATTATATTTACAGAAAAGTCGGTTTACAATCGTGAAAAAGTGGATTTAGAATTGCGGTAAGTGATGGTAAAATTGCAAAAAAATGAGTCAAAAATAAAAAAAAAAATATTTTTCAAAAATCACAAAAAAAGTGAGGTCAAATTAGCGGAAAAGTGGAGATAAAATCGCGGAAAGTAGGGGAACAATCGCGGGAAAATGAGGTAAGAATCGCGGAAAAATGAGGATGAAATAGCAGAAAAATAAGTTTGTAATCGCCGAGGAGTGAGAGCCAAAAATCGCAAAAAAGTGAAAACAAAATTGCAAAAAAGTGGGTCAAAAATCACAAAAAAAAATGAGTCAAAAATTTCAAAAAAAGTGAGTGTGAATTTGTGAAAAAGTGAGATAAGAATCGCGAAAAAATGAGGTAATATTTGCGGAAAAGTGGATTTACAATCGCGGAAAAGTGATAGTAAAATCTAAGATTTCTAAATTATGACGTCATCAAATTGGATTTTTCAATGAATAATAAATTGGAAGCATCTTTCCTACACAAAATTATTGAATTTGACATTTATCAAAAGATCCAAACAACCAGCACCTTGTTTTACAGGTAATGAAATGTCTTGTCAGTTTCTTGAAAGTATGTCGTGGTCAGTAATTATTTTTGCTAGAAATGCAACAAAATACAGAAGAAAGAGAAGATTGCATCGATCCCTTGAAAAATATAGATGAGGCGGCCAATCGGGCTACCTCAGTTGTTCCAATTTTACCATTAATATCAATGTAAATAACTAAAAATACAAACATTTTTGACGTTCGCTCTCAAAATTTGATGTTTCATTTTTAACACTAGTGCTATAAAGACTTTATGGCACTAGTGCGATAAAGTAACATTTTTAATGCTACGGGGGGTGTTAAAAATTGCATTTTTGACACGTTTGTAGGAAAAGTTTTTTTTTTTTAAAGATAAAAGTCAAAATGCTTTCAAATTTTTTATGTAGAAAAGGCTTGTGTTGCCAACATAGTTATTGAATTTTTGACTTGGGGAATTATCTTTAAAAAAAAAACATACTTTAACTTTCCCCAGAAAAGTGTGCAAAATTTGAAAATAGGCATGCGAAATTGTGCAAATTAAGGTGAATAGGAATTTTTCAAGTTTTAGACAAACAAGGGGGAACGGTCAAGTTTGCCCCTAGTTTAAAAAAATGCTCTAGTTTTCGTTGTGTTGTGTGCAAAATTATTATGGTTTAGGTATTTATTTTTGAAATTTGTTTAATACAGGCGGAAACTTGACCGACCCCAAAATTTACTTGTTGGTAAATAAACCGATCTACTGGAAAATAAATAAATAATTCATAATTCGAAATTAAACATAAATTTCCAAGTGGCAAATTTGCCAAATATACTGAAAAAAAAACCTAAAGAAAATGATAGAATAGCATCCATCTATGATATTCGTTGGTAAATTATCAAATATGTTAGAAAATATATGCTTAACTTCCTAATTCCTTTTGGCACGTGTTTGTCTCCCTATGCACGCAAAGCAAATATTTCACTTTAATAACTTCATTCAGAGAAGCAGACACGGATGCTGGCTCGCTGGCTGGATGCTGAATCAACAGCATTGACAACTCGGCAACAGTGGGCAATAGACTCGAGCCAGCGTCCACACCGGCAAAAGCCGGCGTCCATCGAGGTATCAAAAATCAGAATACGGACGAGACTTCTACACTTACCAGCCACAATGCACACAATAGCCCAGTCAAAATAGGATAGGATTGGATAGGATTCTATTATAATTTTTTAAACAGTGTTCCGACAAGTGGATTTTCCCCAAACTTGGTATACATGTACACTACCCCTGACAACACCCTATGTAAAAGCGGCATCGATGGTCAAACAAAATTATCCAGGAAAAATGGATAAGATATAAAAAATTAACAATTTATACTATAATTTTTTAAACAGTGTTCCGACAAGTGGATTTTCCTCAAATTTGGTATACATGTACACTACCCCTTATGTTTAAGTGGCATCGATGGTCAAACAAAATTATCCAGGAAAAATGGATAAGATATAAAAAAATCAACAATTTCTATTATAAATTTTTAAACAGTGTTCCGACAAGTGAATTTTCCCCAAATTTGGTATACATGTACACTACCCCTTACAGCACCCTGGTCAATTAAAATTATCCAGGAAAAATGGATAAGATATAAAAAAATCAACAATTTCTGTTATAATTTTTCAAACAGTGTTCCGACAAGTGGAATTTCTCCAATTTTAGTATAAATGTACACTAACACTTACAGGACCCTATGTAGAAGCGGCATCGATGGTCAAACAACATTGTCCAGGAAAAATGGATAAGATATAAAAAAATCAACAATTTCTGTTATAATTTTTTGAACAGTGTTCCGACAAGTGGAGTTTCCCCAAATTTGGTATACATGTACAGGGTGGCCCAAATTCGAGCCTCATCATTGGGATCTCAGTAACCGTAAGAGATACGGGGTCGGTTAAATTATGGCAAAGTTGCGCAATTTTATGACCAACAGAATGCCGTTTTGTAATTAGAAAAATTCCGAACGCTTCCGGAGATACATGCCGTGAACGTGAAGATTTCACACTACTACTTACCTACCTGAAAATTTCCAGCTAAATACTACTCAAGTCCAAGAGGCGACTGCAAAATGTCTAGCCGATAAGATTGAAGAATAAAATCTTTCGCGTTAGTACGTCATTGGTTAGTACCTACCTATAAAACAACTAGTTATTCCAAGACCATCAGAACTATCCTTCCATCCCTGGTTCGCGCGTTCGCGGCACTTATTTCTAAATATGTGAAAGTAAGGAAGAATGTTGAAGTGGTTCGTGGTGTGGTAGGATATCGGATCGGTATGAGTTCGAAATGATCTTGATGTACTTATGTGAGACAATAATACATAGATACTGAAACAAAAAATATCTAAAACGAATTTTTCAAACAACCTGGACATATTTATAGTAAAAAATAAAAAGCATCATTCACCAGAATTGCAATAAATTCTCAAAAATCGTGAATTAATCATCACCTCAATGAAACGCATAAAAAAAGAGCCTCTGGAACAGAACAAATAACTATAGAATTCGAATAACTTACTGAGAAATGTGCCGCAACAAGCGAAAAAACAATACCCTTTTGGTCCAAGATCCTGGGAAATTCAATTAGCGTTCCAAAGCAAACTTCGGACCTTGGCGAATCAATTTAAGAAATACCTACTCATTGCAAAAACTTCCCAATACTCAGGAGTGAACGTTCAGCCGCCCAACTAACATCCGTTGAATTGAATTTAAGCCAGAAAAACATTGCAAAGTTTTAAAAAATCTCAAAATAGACTTCAGTCCTGTCGTGGACAATATTCCAGCCATATTTTCAATAAGAAAACAGGCATTATTAAAAAAACACTTTCATTTGCAATGAATACAACCTGATGGAAAATGGAACAGTCCAAATGAGTGGACAAAGGCATAATTAAAACTTATCTAGAAACGACACAACCCTGGTAATTATCGCCGTTTGACATGCACTTTATGTATATCAATGGACAATGTGGCTCACGAAATCGAAGATTTCTTTTTGGAAAATGACATTATTCCTACCAACATGGATTTCTACCAAGATGATCTATTTCCACAAACCTTTCGTGTCTAAAAAATAAGAAGACAAAAGAAGTTGATACAGGGTAGCTGCTGCGATTTTGATTATCTTGTCTTTGAGACTGCGGCTGATAAGGTTCAGGTGATAAATTACTTCTATAAAAGCTTGACCATCAGTCTAGTATAAGAGGAAGCTAACATTACTGCGTTGTTCGCCGCGAACTAGATACTGCACTGTGTTTTGTATATTGGTAGTAAAGTCAACCAACAAAGGGCAGTATTGTTAGTTCGGATTTACAATGGGAGCCACACATGTTTCTGCCATGACTAAAAACAATCACTCTAGTTGAAGAGAGAATTTAGTGACCATTGTGTGAAAATGATAGAAAATCTTTATAAAACCTTTGTGCATCCTAAATTAGAATACGCCCATGCCGTGTGGAATTCCCATTTATATAACTAAAAGATGCCTCCAGAAGTGGGCCATCTAAAGTGGCCATCTACCATCATACCTGAACGTCTTAAGTAGGTATTTGAACTAAGTATTGAAGGAGAGGCGAGACAGAGGTGATCTCATTGAAACCTCTAAAGTACATCTTTTACCTCAGCCAAAAAATCGATCTGACATCATCTGGCGTTTCAAATTTCTCATAAACGAGAACTTCGCAACCACACAAAAAATACTTAACGAAGATAGATCTGCTCTGGAGAAAAAACTTTTCAAGTGTATATGTTACGGTTAATATACATATGCAAACTTGGATAGTTTGTAAAGTAGCTGGATAGTTTACAAACTAACCAACTCACTGGCTTTTTTGATATAAATCGAAATTTTCTCTAAAATAGCAGCTAGTTTATAAACTAACCATGAGTCTTGGTTAATTTATTTGAAATTATTGAGAAAACTAAATTAGCTGGTTAGTTTATAAACTATCTAATGCAGCCAGGCTAATATGAAAATCATAATTTCTAGTACCTAACACAAAATAGCGAAACCTTTGGATAGTTTATAAACTATAACCAGCTATTTTAGTTTTCTCAATAATTTCAAGTAGATTAGCCAAGACTCTTGGTTAGTTTGCAAACTAGCTGCTATTTCAGTGGAAATTGCGTTTACTATCAAAATAGCCAGTGGGTTGGTTAATTTGTAAACTATCCAGCTATTTTCATTTCTCCTCCCCACAAATTAAACGCCATATTTTAATTTTTGAGAGTTTTTATTAAATCTACAATGCAAATGTTAATACTTCTTGTCTCCTTCACCCATTTCTAAATTTTGCCTCTCTTTTTTCTTTGCCTTGGCTAGGTTGAAATCAATCACCGCATCTCCATGCCCTTTATTTTTAATTTTTTTGATATCCCCTATTGATGGCATTTGTTCATCTCTAGGAGTCATACCGGTAATCGTAACAATTTCTGGATCTTCATAAATACTTTCAACGCTACCAGTTTCATCAAAATCTTCAAGGTTTGCAGGTTTTTCTTCGTACATTGTGTGAACACTAGCAATAAGCTCCTTCCAATCTTCGTTGTCACTGAACTCCGACAATTCTCCCAATAAATCTTTTAAAGATAAAGGTTTATCATTAGTCATTTCTTCAAAAGGCAAATCTTCAATAAACCTTTGAATTTCGTCAACTGTAGGAAAATCCTTCAATTTTTTCTTTTCCATTTTCTTGGAATTTGATTTATTTTGCCTTTTGTCCATATATTTTTTAATCATGTAAATAGTTGCCGTGGCAGTGCACAAGAATATGAGCTTCTTGTAATGGTCGCAGAGATGGGAGGATAAAAGGGAATTGATTTCCATTTAAATTTTATGATTTCTTGATAAACCAATCTTAAAAAATTATACAAAAACTCAAATAAATCTGACAATTATACTGTCAAATAAAAATGTCATGTCTAAACTATGTGGACAGCTTCTCCACAGAGCAATCAGAAGAAAAGAAAAATGCAATCCTCAATGAAGCCTTAGAATGCTTCAAAAGCCAAGAAGAAAAGCAAAGTCAGGAACTATTTGCATTTATTGAGGACTTCATAACGTCCCCTGAATATGCAGGCTATCTTAAAGATAAAACACAAATAAGAAAGCGAATGATAGCTATCCAATGCAATGAAGAAGATATTGTTGTGGAATATAGACATCAAAAAGAACAAATTGAGATAATGGAGAAGTATCCATTGACCCAAGAGCAAAAGAAAATATACACTTTCAAGAAGCATTTTGAAAATTATGTAAAGAACAAAGAGATAGATGTATTGGTAGAGAAGCAAAAACGAAGCATTAAGGCTATAAAAGCAAAAATTTCTGAGGCTCGTACATTTTTTGAATGCACAATCGACACTAGCAGAGATAAAATTGGACGATACGAAGAAAATTTAATGCAAAAATACTCAAATAAATTCAACATCGAGCTTCGCTTTTTGACTCGGCAAAGCCAAGAAAAACTTTTGGAAAGATTCAAAAGATGCCATAACATTATAACTGACAGAACAAGGAGACGGCAAGAAAATATAATTAAAATTATGGAAAAATTAGCGTTTGAGTTTCGAGTAAAAAAGGAAGTGAAGCCTTCGAAAATAAAACAAAAGGTTAAAATTATTGAAGATATGGACTTTGTGATAAACACAGAAGTTGTTGAGGTTATACAAGAAGATGAACTTATAAAGGAAGAATCGAGTGAAGGAGATATTTCATTAGTAAAAGAAGTCGAGGAACGAGAAAACAAGCCAGTTGGCAAAGAGAAAAAGAGCAAGGATAAGGCAGTTGAGAAAAAAGCTGGTAAAAAGACTAGAGAAAACACCAAAAAAGATAAAAAAGTGGTAAAAGTTCATAAACCTACACTTTTTTGTTTTGGTATTGATAAAGTAAATTTTAGGGGCCCGATGGTACCAAACTGCAACTCCCAAGGATTCCAATATCAAATCCAAGAAAAAAAATTCTGCCAGAAAATATCGATAAAATCGTGGATTTGATTGAAGAATTTAGAGAATTCGATGGCCAAATGGAAGATAGAGATATGCTGCGAAGTCATGATTACCTTATTGGAGATGCTGGGCTGATAATTAAGCCTGATGTGATTGTCTTTCAAGTGAGATGAATTTCTATACTTCTTAGCATTTTCTATACAAACACCTGAAAATCCCATTTTTCGATTTTTATGTTTGTTTAACTTTCCTCACACTTGCAGATAAAAAAAACGTCCCAACAGAATTACGTAAGACAAATGTTGAAATAATATGCTGAAATTTACTCTTATAAAATCGATGTTTACCTTTGAAAGCTAGATATATCTGTGGAACTCCTGTCAAGAGTCCCGTGTATTTGTTTTTCTTGCATCTTGATGACAAAAAAAAAACCTTCAAAATGTACATGGCCTTTAGAATTTCCAAAAGCAAAAAAATTATTGTAGTTCGGTAAGCAATAGATTATTGCCTTACGCAACTTTATTTCATTAAGATAATGCCTGATGGCCGATAAGGTACCTCATTTTCCACGAGCACGGTTGTCTCAGGAAGATAGCGGTTTTCCGCTTAGGATCGATCTTTCAGCTCGAACGGCAAAATTTTAAAAGGGACTAATAGAAAGGATTAGAGAACAAACTGAACAAGCAGAGCTTCCCGTCAAAAAATAGCCAACGGAAAGTGTTGGTACTAAACTGGTACTTCAAACTTAAATGAAAATCGTGCTCTCTAGTTTAATAACTGCTATAATTATTAGCAACAGGTTTTTTTTTAATGCTTGTCACCAGACTGTCAACATTAAAGGTAATAATCTAACTAATAAAACTATAAGGATATTTTAGCGACTTTTTTTAGGGTTGGTGATTAAAAAAGCGCAAAAATTTCTGGAGTGATGTTGGAGTGGCATTGAGTGAATTGCGTGGTGGGTTGTCATGTTTTTTATACACTTCAGGGATTAAAAGTAGGTACCCTTTTAATCCCTGTTTTAAGGGAGTAAAGTGGGTCTTTTAATCCCCAGGTTTAAATTTCGCTTTATTTCCCGGGGATTAGATTCTTACTTTATTTCCCAGGGATAAAATTTTTACTTTATTTCCCGGAGATTAAAAGTACCTTTTTATTCCCAGTTTTATTTAATCCCCAGGAAATAAAGTAAAGTGCATAAAATAGTGTATACACCTCAGGACTAAAGTGTTTTTTAATCCCTCGACAAAAAAGTACCATTTAAGTCCATAGGTGTATAATGTACTATTAACTACATAAATAATAAAAGTCCAAAGTAACTTTGCAAAAACCAACAGGGAAATTTGCTCATTTGCTGTACGGAGCTAAGAGGCAATCTGCAGCCTGATTCTCGCTCGATACGCACGAGGGCGCAGGGCAGGGTTCTATTAATTCTCAGTCTTTGTCACTCATATACGATTTTACATGGAACTGAGGACAGGGCACTTTTTCCCAGACGAGCGCTGGGGCATTTCGAGAATCAGGTGCCTGTTCGAATAAATAGGGAAATAATTGAAACACTTTAGGAAAAAAAATTAATTATTTAATATTAAATTAATTATAAATTACAGTTTTTTTTAAATATTTTTTTCTCGTGCGATTTGCCGCCCCTTGGCTATGCCGCACGCCTTTGCGCTTATTGTAGCGGGGGCATTGCTTTTGCGCCCGGTGCTACTTTCAAGCATCGCCCTACGTATTCCTAGTTTATACAATCTGTTATTGTATTTTAAATAACTTCACAGAAAAAATACATAAGTGGAAAAAAAAAATCAATTGAGTAAATAGAATATAAAAAAAAAACAAAAGCAATAATATATTTCCTCTAATTATCTTAATATAAAATCGAGATGTTAGTTCAAGGTTGTCACCGCTTTTGCATGCATTAAGTGCTGACTCATAGATAGGCAATTACTTATACATAATAATTGAAGTCGAGTGTTTGGAAGAAGTCCGGAGAGGTCAGGAAAGAGCTGGATAAAGTCTGGAGAAATCTAGACAAGTCTGGATAAAGTCTGAATAAGTCTGGATAAAGTCCAGCTAAGTCTGGAAAAGTCTGGATAAGTTTGGATAAAGTCTGGAAAAGCTAGAAAATTTCTGCAAACGTCTGGAAAAGGCTCTATTAGGTCTGGAGAAATCTATACAAGTCTGGATGAAGTCTGGAAAAATCTACCCAAGTCTGGAAAAGTTTGGATAAAGTCTGGAAAAGCCTGGAAATTTCTGGAAACGTCTGGATAAGGTCTGGAGAAATTTGGACAAGTCTAGATAAAGTCTGGGAAACTGTATTTAAAGTCGGGAAAGTGTTTGGAAGAAGTCCGGAGAGGTCAGGAAAGGGCTGGATAAGGTCTGGAGAAATCTAAACAAGTCTGGATAAAGTCTGGATAAGTCTGGATAAAGTCTAGCTAAGTCTGGAAAAGTCTGGATAAGTATGGATAGTGTCTGGAAAAGTCAGAAAATTTCTGGAAACGTCTGGAAAAGGCTCTATTAGGTCTGGAGAAATCTAGACAAGTCTGGATAAAGTCTGGAAAAATATAGCTTAGTTTGGAAAAGTCTGGAAAAACCTGGAAATTTCCGGAAACGTCTGGAAAAGGCTTGATAAGGTCTGGAGAAGTTTAGACAAGTCTGGAAAAGTCTAGCTAAGTCTGGAAAAGTCTGGATAAAGTCTGGAAATTTCTGGAAAAGGCATGGAAATTTCTAGATTGGGTCGAAAAAATTCTGGAAAATCTAGAAAGGGTTGACTTTTCGCGGAGCTCAAAGCTCACAATAATCACAAGCATTAGCGTTGAAGTTTGCTTCGGCATTTTCAATGTTCTCCTCGGTTGCATCTTTGTGAAGGATTGTGAATTTTTTATTTATGTGACAATTCTCTGACAATATGCCTATTAGCTGTGCTATTAGATACTGCTCTGTATTGTTTGCCCAGCGGATCTGAGTCTACGAAAGGAATTCGGACGTAAATGTGCGATGTTGCCACGTTTAATTATAAAAAAAGCGAGAATACTAGGCATGAAGTATAGTTCATTTGAAAATCCATTTTTTAATAACAAAATGTAGATAACAATAAAACGCTAAATATTTCAACGTGGTTGTTAGATCTATGCTTATTTTAATAACTGATTTCTTCAATTATGTCTATTGTAAAAAATAAACATTTCCTAAAGAATCCATCAGCTTTTGACAATTTGGCAAGGATCCGGCCTGGATGAACCTGATTGGTGGAGTTTTTGGCAGGATTGCCATTGCCACGGGCAACCATGCAATTGTCAGTGGGCTAACGTCACCTTACGTCTCGCTATTGGCCAGGGCTCTTGTCATTTTATCCTCCCATCTTGGAATATCGATTTATATTGAAATATCCAGTGGCGGCGGTTTGGTCATTGTCGATTTTCGTGAACGAGTTGCAATACGATAACATTTCCAAAAAGTTCCGCACGCAGCTGGGTATTTTATGAATGAAATCAGCCATTTTCGATTCTACAGTCGATCAACAAACACAGATGTCAAGAGATAAAGGAGTCGACCGTTGGTCCCAATTCTATGAGTGGATGCAATTGATACAAATATCGTATGTGAGTGTGACTTATTGTGACTGCTAAAGTTTTTATTTTAACTATACTACCTCTCTCCGCGCACCGCCCTTATTATATTTACAGATTCACCGCCCGGTGCTATAGCACCCAATAGCACCCATGTAAAACCGGCTCTGCGTCCCGCCTTTTTTGCTTATTGGGTTTTCGAATTGCCTGAATACAATATTAAATGTATGTTGCAATAATTTGATTCACCTTTCGTTATTCAGTTAGAAAAAAAAATATTGAATTTGCCGATAAAACGAGTCTATTCAAAACGCGCGCCTAACGTGACGTCACACGACTCTGACCAATAGCATCGTTGTCTCCCAATCCAT